TGTTATCAAAAAATATTTACTTGCATTACTCAGAAACGGCAGAACCAATCCCGATAAAATCTATTAAGAAACCTTTCGTTGAAATCTAAATAATATTTAATCGACAACAAAAACTTAAAAAGGTTAACCAACAAAGTTTCATAAAACTCATAATTAGATACACCTAAGTGGATAGTTACTTATAGAGGTAGTATGAGCATAAGATGATTCCTACATCACACAATTAAAGTTTTCACATCAATAAACTTAGGTACTAAAGTTATTCAGTCATTCTCGGGGGTCCTTCTCCTCAGGGGTGAAACCAGTAGCCACCAAGCTGGTCAAAATTGGTGGTCGACCCGTGACCTGGTCGGTGTAACAAGCGAATGATAACTCAGGCACGACACAGTGCCGGAGTTATCATTCTAAATCGCCTTTGATGAGAAACAATGACTACTTGTTAGTTCGACCCCCACTTTTTGATAATTTCAATGACAACGAGAACTGATTTTTTAGCTTAGCTTATTATAGCTTTAACTGTTTGATCACTAGTTACTAAACCTTCAAATCGAAGGCTTCAAAAAATATAAATAAAAATAAGACCGAGTGAATAAGTTGCTTAAGGGACGACGCCACGGTAATATATAATAATACTAACCCAACAGACGTTGTCCTGCGTATCCACTTGAATGTATAAACAAAAATTCATTCAAATTAGTTCAGCTTTAGAATAATTAACCTAGACTGCAGCGCCATCTGTCGGGCTGATTTGTGAATCTAAACCATTCTCAGATCCCCTTGAACACATACAAAAAAAATCATCAAAATCGGTCCAGTCGTTTGAGAGAAGTTCAGTAACATACACACTCACAGAAGAATTATATATATATAAAGATTTCCGTAATGACGTGCTCCATCGTAGACCGCACCGCTTACCACCAGGGGAGATAGTGGTCAAAGGTCGGCCCATCAAAAATATTACAACAAAAATATTATGTTGCCCTTTTATTATTGCAAAAGCCGACTGCAAAACTACATACGTCTATGAACGACGCTGACAGCTAACTATCAAGTGTTCCGTCTATGCATTTGCCTTATACCCTACAAAAATCTATATAACAATTATTCTACTACTACCTCAATATTCTCATCTTATAAAGCCTAACGCTTTCTGGCAATATTTACCATATTTTTACCTTAATCGGTTGATTGAAGAACCCGTCAAACAATAATCAATATGGCCACGTTCAATTAGCCTTATCCTTTTGTTATTAAACAATGTTCCTGTTAATAGATAGCTAATTGCTAATGCAGTGTTGTTGATAACTAATGATTACCAAGCTGACGTGTAATCAGTTCAGGCTAACACCTGTCCATCATTATATTGACTTTAAAGATGACTCGTCTGACTCATTTACATTTGTAATTACGTAAAACCAGCCTTTACCAACGGTTTTGCCCGCGTAAAATAGATTATTTCGCAATTTAGTTTAATTGTTTTGTTTTGAAATTTTTAAACTATAAAATAAACACCTGTACTTTGTTTAAAAAAAAAATTATAACATAACAGGTAGGCTGAGGTGCACATTAATGCCACTGTACAACGTAACACCCAATTTTCACTCTTTATGTTATGAGTCCCATGTAATAGGGGGTGAGCCTATTCTCATATACCGGGCACAATTCCACACTCCGTGCTATAACTGAGATTTATCTATAACTAAAAACCCAGTATTTCTTTACCCGACCCGGGAATCGAACCCGAGACCCCTTGCCCGGCAGTCGCACTTGCGACCACTCGACCAACGAGGCAGTCACTAAAGATCATTTTTCTTATAAAATAAAACGTACCTAATATCAATTTCGCAATTATACCTCTAGGTATGTAAAATATCAAGACAATTGGTTGCGTAGTCAGGCGTCAAGAGGCAACAAACAAACTTATTACTTTAACATAGGTAACTGGCGAAAAGTTAATGTATCGTAGCGGTAATGTTCGTAGTAGCATCGTAATCACTAATTAGTTCAACACTTTTAAATTTACTTAACAAAGACGAAAGTTTTATGACAAACTTTCTACACTCATTTCTACATCACACAGATTATAAAAGTGACGAGATAATACGATTGATAATGATTTAGGGGGTTAAATATTTAACTATTGTTTTATTTAAGTGTGCGAAAGCCATGCTTCCGCACGAATGGGCCGTCTCGACCCCTCCCTCCCTTCCCCAGTCTCCCCAATCCAAAATCCACCACAATCCTCAAATTTTCAATTACTAAGAGACCGGTAACGCATTTGTAACGCCTCTAGTGTTTCTGGTGTTTAAGGGCGGCACCAATTACTTAACATCAGGCGATCTGTCTGCTCGTTTACCGGCTTATGCCATAAAAAAAATCGTGCAATTTGTTACTGAACTATTAGCAATTAGTTGTGTAGACATATCGATTGTACATGGCTCAAACTAAACATGTTTGAGTAAAGATAATTGCAATGTTATAGGACAAAGTTGCCAGTCACTGCGTTAAACAAAGGCTTAGAGATCATAGTTACACTACACATTTAGATACGGTGGATTATTTCGCTAGCGATCCCTGAAGTACTATACAGAGGCACAAGATAGGATACTAAAAGCACCAATAGATGATCGAAGCGAACCGTCACTGTATTTTTTTTTTTTTTTTTTTTTTTTTTTTTTTTTTTAAGGGGGGAAAATCATCGAATGACTGCCCCCGCCTGGGTGAGGCGGGAGGGAGTGTCAGACTCTTACTGACTAAAAACCACCCCGTTCCTTCTCCTGCACGTCGAGCCGGAGCCCCGGTTACCCGTTAGGTTCTCCGCGACTCCGAATCGGCATCGGCCCTATTGGGCCCCATCTGTGGTGGTCTGATGGCTCTTTGAGGCGCGCGCGGAACGCGACGCGCCGTACGCTCGGGTCTGTTTCTGGTCGGACGGGGAGCCACCCATGCTCGCCGTCCGCAGGCCCGCGCTTACGGTGGCCGGAGATCGTCCCGCGATCCCCGACGCCCGGTGTGTCCTTCGCGATGGCTGGGTTGCGAGGAGGCAGCGCTTCGCTGCCTCACGCGTCCCGCCTCCTCCTTAGCTAGCATGACTGCTTCGCAAAAGGAGGAGACGGCATCCCAATCCCCCTCGCTCCGCATCATGGCCTGCACTAGGCCCGGACGCGAGAGGTCGCCATCGCCGATCACTTCCCTGAGGACACGGCGGTGCTCAGCCCACGAAGGGCATTCTCCCACCGTGTGTTCCACCGTGTCCTCAGGGCGGTCCTCGCAGTGATGACACCCGGGCGTTTCCTCCCGCCCCATCAGACACAGGTACCTCCCGAAACTTCCATGTCCGGTGAGGACCTGCGTCAGGCGGTAGGTGAGGACGCCGTAGCGTCTCTCAAGCCACTCCTCAAAGAGGGGACTTACCGCTGCGATGGCAGCGAGCCCAGCCCTCGGTTGCGACAGTCGTTGCTGCCATTCCGCCATGAGATCGCGCCGGAGCTCATCCCGCCACGCACCTATCTGGCGCGGCAGCGGGGTTTCGCCCCGGCGACGTGCCTCCGCGCGCATGCTGTACACGCGCGCGAGCACCTTCGCCTCCAGATCCCACGGCGGTAATCCGGCAAGGAGGTTCGCCGACTCCCCAGAGATCGTGCGGTATCCGCGGATCATTCGGATCGCCATGACCCTCTGTGCCATGAGCAGCGTCCGAGCGGGACGCCGCAACAGGTTTGGCGCCCAAACAGGGGCGCCGTAGAGGGCCATGGACCGCACGACCCCGGCGTATAACCTCCGGCAGGAGGCGTTTGGCCCCCCGAGGTTGGGGAGGATGCGTTTAAACGCAGCCCCCGTCCTCTCCAACTTTGGAGCCAAACGTCGGAAGTGTTCAATGAAGTTCCACCGACTGTCGAGGACGAGTCCTAGGTACTTCATCGTCGTCTCGACGCCGATGGTAACTCCTCCCGCCGTTATTTGGGACCCACCCGGAGGTGGCGCGTTCCCGCGGCCATGAAAACACATGGCCTCGGACTTGTGGAGCGCCACCTCGAGTCCCAACTGCCGGATTCTCTCAACGACTGTCGCAACCGCTGTCGCCATTAAGTCGGCCGCCGCCTGGTGTGACCTCCCGTGCGCTAGCACCAGCGTATCGTCGGCGTAGCATATTGTGCTAACGCCGTTCGGGAGGTCGGTGCGCAGCACCCAGTCATAACCGATGTTCCACAGGAGCGGCCCCAGAACCGAACCCTGTGGAACACCGCGTGACATCTCTCGCCGGTTCCACTCGCCCCGGTGACCGGGGTAAATGACGGACCTGTCCGTCAGGTATGCCTCGATTACACGACGGAGGTAGGTAGGCACCCGATGATATCGGAGTGCCTCCAAGATGCAGCTCCAGGGCAGGGAGTTGAAGGCGTTGGCGATGTCCAGAGACACCGCCACTACGACCTTACCCCTGGACACTGCAGTCCCCGTCGTCCGGTCTCTAACGCGCATGATGGCGTCCACCGTGGAGCGCCCTCTGCGGAAGCCGAACTGGCCGTCCGACAGGTCCGGCCCAATGTCCGTCAGGTGCGCGACGAGGCGGTTCGAAATGATTCTTTCGAAGACTTTCCCCACCTCGTCGAGCAGCACTATGGGCCGGTATGCGGACGGAGAGTCCGCAGGGCGCCCCGTCTTCCGCACGAGGACCAGTTTGCCCGCTTTCCAGAGAAGCGGGAACTGGCCTCTCTCCAAGCATGCGCTGTAGAGACCGATTAATCGAGGCCCGAGAGCCTCTGAGGCCAGGACCCATGCTTTGCCATGCAAGCCGTCGGGTCCTGGGGCGGTGTTCTTGGCGCCCATCCGGCGCACCGCCGCTCTCAGTTCTGCCTCGGTCACCTCTGGGACGATGTCGTCGTCGTCGTCGCTGTAGCCCGCGTCGGGCACCGCAGGGGGCGGAGTCATATACGGAGGGGTGAACCCCCTCCACAGTCGGGGGAACAGGGCGCTTATCACCTCCTCCAAGACCTCTGGCCGGAGACTCTGAGTGAGCGGGGGAGCCCAGGCGCGGAGCTTATCGCGCACCATCCGGTACGGGCGTCCCCACGGATCTCTGTCCAGAGTCCCCAGCATCTCTCGGCGGGCCTCCTCCTTGGCACCGTCACTGTATACGGAGCCGCGGAGAACTTAGCGGGTTACCGAGGCTCCAGCTCGAAGTGCAGGAACGGGGTGGTTTATACTATAGTCAGTAAGAGTCTGACACTCCTTCCCGCCCCACCCATGCGGGAGCAGACACTCGATGATTTTCCCCCCTTAAAAAAAAGTCTCTGCGTTGCACACAGGTTTAGAGACCACACTACATATTAAGATACGGTGCATTATTTCCTTGTGATCCCTGAAGTACTACACAGAGGCACAAGATAGGTTCATACTAAAAGCACTAATAGAGGATTAAAGCAAACCGTCATCGTATGCGGAGCCGCGGCGCGAGACGATCTCCGGGAACCGTAAGCACGGGCCTGCGGACGGCGAGCATGGGTGGTTCCCCGTCCGACCAGAAACAGACCCGAGCGTAGGGCGCGTCGCGTTCCGCGCGCGCCTCAAAGAACCATCAGACCACCATAGATGGGGCCCAACAGGGCCGATACCGATTCGGAGTCACAGAGAACCTAACGGGTAACCGAGGCTCCGGCTCGACGTGCAGGAGAAGGAACGGGGTGGTTTTTAGTCAGTAAGAGTCTGACACTCCCTCCCGCCCCACCCAGAGCTTTCACCCCTTAAAAAACGGATCCGCGGAGAACTTAACGGATTACCGGGGCTCCGGCTCGAAGTGCAGGAGTAGGAAGTAGGAATAGGAAGAAGAAGAAAGGACTAAAAACCTCCTGCTCTGACAGTCCTTCCCGCCTCACCCTAGCGGGAGAAGTCATTCGATGATTTTCTCCCCTTAAAAAAAACCGTCAATTTGATTCGGTGCTCCAGCGGTATCTTGAATATATGCGACGGACCGCTGTACAGACTATCAAAATAATGTCCAAAGCGGACAAAAGTGACGGTTCGGTTCGATCGTCTATTTGTGTTTTTTTTTTTTTCATTTTGTATTTGATGGGCCAAAGTTTGCCATCTATCTCGCCTGGTGATGCTCGATGATGCGGTCTACGATGGAGCACGTCGTCCCATAAGCAACCTATTCACTCAGGCCTTGAAGACACTCAGGTTACATCCTGCATAACCCTATTATGCATATAGTGGGTACATTAGGTACACACATTTACTTAAAAAATCATTCTCATATCTGGTTTTTTCCCAAATAATGGATGTATTAAAAATTACTCTCAAAAGCTGGGTGTGAGACGATCGAACCCTCAATAGATGTGCAGAAGCAAAGGCCTTTTTATTACCTACCTCAAATAGAAAAAGGTTTTATCTATTACTACACGTTTAGACTGAGTCTATGCATCAGTATATCAAGTAAAACCTAGAACTAACATCTAAATTTCCTTCCACAGATGGGAAAAAGCCCAATGGCCTCAATCAGCGATGGGTGGTGCAGCCGGAGCCGTGGCAGCTGGAGCCATGGTAGGAGCTGTTGCCTTGGCAGGATCCTCTCCATCATCGGCTACCCTTGCCAACCCTGAACCTCGCGACTCCGCCAGTTTGACACCTGGCAGCGCACTGTCCCTGACTCCTAACTCTTCGTGTGAAGAGCTGAGGGTTGATTCTGGTGAGTTCACTACTAGGTACATACTTACTTAAACAAAACACGATTTTTATATACATTTCCATTCCTTCTCCATATGAGAAAAGTTATTTGTGTAGTAGTGGGATGATTATAGGTTTATAATGAATATGATACTCATGTCATCGTCCCGGTTCTTGTATTCTGTAGGGATGGGGCGGAAGTGATATTAAATAATGATACCTATAATAATACGTTAGTCTAGCATAAATTGTTTCTCATTTTTTGGAACCAAAATCTATCTTCTTGAGGTTTAATTTGTATACGTAATTTTGCTACTACTTCTTTTTGTGCGACTATTAATTAAGATTTACCATCATCTTAAGATTAAAAAGTCTACACTAGGAAACCTTTTTAAAAAGATACCTACCTTTTTCAGACCCTATTTTCATCGTTTGTCACTTTTTTTTCTTTTTTTAAATTTTGTGATTAACCCGTCGTGTGTTTCATGCGGCAGGCATTCAAGCGGTTAAGGTCATGAATCATAATACCCTTTGTTTTATTTTATAACGATACCCTAAAAATCACTCCGATTGGATAGCCAATCGGAGTGATTTTTAGGGTATCGTTATAGATTGTTATAGAACAATTGATTTAAAATGCACTCCTGCACATAAAAATGAAATGTTCGCAATATGAATATTTATGAAGTGAAGGTTAAATAAAGCTTTTTTGTGATTTTGGATATTAAATATTTTAATATTTTTAGATTACTTTTATTGAGAAACATTATTTATAGTAGTTAATTTTATAAAACCATGTTATTATTCATTGAAAAGAAAATCCTGAATTGAATTTAGGTCTTCATTGTTGTGTGTGGGGTTCAATTTCGTACGGAACAACTTTTTGTGAGATCCACAAAGAGTGATTGTTTTTCTGTCCTTATGTGATGTGTACCTATGTGAAATTGTAAACATAAAATAAAATTTATTTATTTCAGACCACAGAGTCCATAGGCACGGCAGTTTTATTAGTAGTTACAACATTTCTTATAACTAATTTTAGTAGGTAACCAACAATTCAACGCTCAACACTAAGTATGGGGGGGTGTCTACTTTATAGGCTCACCGGTCCCGACCCTACCCCAACCCATGAAGTTCAGTGAACCTACTAAGCAGAACAATATCATTAAGGTGCTCCCTCACCGGGAGCATTCACTTTGAGCATTACATTACAATAATACCTCCCTGACTAACGAGCATTTGCGTGTAATCTAACATTAAAGATTCGACTTTGAGCATTTCATAGCAAGATGTCAGACATTGATGTTACAAGTTGTATCAAGATATTACACATTGTATCATTACAAGGTGCTCATTGTAATGCTCGGTTCTCCTCCTTCACTGATGTAATGCTCAGATCTGTGACGTTACATATTTATTAGCATTCGCGTGAATTCGCGTGAGAAGGAGGGAATGTATAAATTGTATAAATAAAAAAACAAAAAGGGATTACCCAAAACACAAACAAAAAATTGTACCTATATATACCTACGGTACTTAGTTATGTACTAATCCGCATGCATTTGGTGAATAACAAAACTAAATGCAATAATGTTACATTACTCTTAATTTTATATAACACTTTGTTTCTAATATTGCTTGCCAACAGAATTGTTGCAAAATTATTTTTGCGTGTTACTTTCTTTTGAGAAGTGACATCTGTGTGTCGAGTAAATACATAACACTTGAAGTGCAGGCAAGAGTTGTGTTCTCAGGTTACCAACATACATACAATCATAGATTAGTGTATACTTGTGCTTTTTTCTTTTTTTTATGGCATAAGCCGGTAAACGAGCAGACGGATCACCTGATTGTAAGCAATCGGCGTCGCCCATGGACACCTGGAACACCAGAGGCGTTACAAGTGCGTTACCGTCCTTTTGAGGATTAGGAGTTTGAGGATCGTTGGGGATTCAGGAATTGCGGAGATTGGGGAAGGGGAGGGTAATTGGGCCTCCGGTAACCTCACTCACACGATGACACACAACGTAAGCGTTGCTTCACATCCGTTTTCTGTAAGGCCGTTGTATCACTCCGATCGAGCCGGCCCATTCGTGCCGAAGTATGGTTCTCCCACACTTGAATATTTTTCAATCTTTTCTCAGTATTTCTATGTAATTTTAAAACAATGGCTTCTAAAACCGACTGCTGAACATAAAGTTTTTGGTTCTATTCTCGTGTGGAACAAAAGACGTGGACATCTGTCTATTTTCAGTTGCAAAAAATTGAAATAAGCATAATAATATGGTGTCTAAGATTCTAACCAGCGATTTGTAGAATACAGCATGTTGCCTTGACTGTGGATGTGTGTGATAAGGTATAAAATAGTGGGACTCAGCCTACCCTATCGAAAAGCAACACAAATGTTATACAACAAAAATAACAAAACGCAAAAACCCATCAACAGCATTCCGATCTTATAACCTTAACGAAAACAAACAAAACATGATAGACAGGCAGACAGTCAGACAAACAAATAACTTCCTTTTCAATATAGATACGGAAATATCTAAGTAAAACATGGCGGTATTTTAAATCCACAAACTTTGCATAGTCTGTAAATGGTTGGCCTTATTCTGTCAAAGTGAGTCGCTCCATGCCTCCATACTCGCCATTCGCTCGATTCCCATGCCCTCTTTGATCGAGTTTACACAAACTTTGTATTGCGAAGCGATGAGATACATGTTCTAGTTCAGTTGTGGATTATAGAATATGCCTGTTTGATTGTACATAGTTCGTATTATTTTAAAGTGTCGATGCGAGTGCGTCTACTGTTTAAGGGTCGAATTTATTTGTCTTTAATCCAAAAGTTTTGACTTTAACGATAATGAATTAGAATTTAGAGATTTTATAGAATTTGTATCATATACCCAAATTAAAACAGAAATGTTTAAAGCTATCTTACAAATACCAATATCGTACAATAAAAATGATGCGTTGCGTTGCGATAGAAAGACAAAGAATCTGTTTTATATTCAATATTTTTCAATAATTTCCTGATATGTGTTTCCTGGGTGTCATCAAGCCCCGAGTGAGTGAATAGGTTGCTTATGAGTCGACGTGCTCCATCGTACACCACATCGTGGCTCACCACCAGGCAAGATAGTGGTCAAACAAAAACAAAATATAAAATAAAATTGGATTAAGTCTTATAATTTATTTAAACTAAGTCTTATTTACGCACTTCGATTTTCCAAATTAGCCCGAAGTCTGGTCCGAAATGAAGGAATAATATTTCGCGCTGTAGGTTGAAATTCTAAAAACATGTTGTTTTAGAAAAACCTTACACACTCAACTCATATTGGCAACGAAATTCTGAGTAAATCTATAAAAGCAATAACTACCATGATTCCTACATTTCTCGAAGAAACAACATAAAATTTAATCATCAAAACAATTCTTGAAACTTGCGTTACAACAACAAGCACATCATAATAGCAGAGCGCATCATTAGTGCGAAAATTCTTTGCACAGGGTAAGTCTGCCTGACCCCGTCCATGATAACGCCTTTAAAACTTTCGATATAACAAAACTACTGCCATATTAGTAGCATTTAGTCCACATCTGTTTGATCTTATTTTACAGTCATGGCGATCTGTAAAATGGACACGAACTAGTAGGTAGACGCGAACAGACGAACTCACCCTACATACGTTTCATATCTGGACCTTTAACTAATGCTACACAGTGTAATATAGCGTCCATGATCGCAACAGAAAGGTAGCTGATATTATGAACTGTGAAACTGATAGTTACGACCCATCTAGTATCTTGCTTGTCCTTGTTCATAAGAATCTATAGAGGTAATTTGAAATTAGCAAATAGCTCTACTTGGGAACAAACCTACAAAAATATGTCAAATGCACTTTTAAGTTCTATCTTAATTGATTTGGCTTTGAAAAAAATGTAGGATTACCGTTTACCTATATTAATTTTAACACGTTCCTCATGATGCATGGTTTCATAAAATAATTGCAGATTGCACTGCGAATGTACAACAAAACAACAAATTCTTTACGTATTTCAATGTTTCCGAGAAAATATTCACAATAACGGATCATTTGTTCCAGGTATGCGCAAGAGTGTGCGGGAGGATGGCGACAACACATTCCTGCAAGCTCCTACGCAGGTCAGAATCAACATTGTATATTAATGCCACTTTATAGATTAATTGCAGTAATCCAACTTCATGTGAAAAATTCATAGTAAGCTGAAGATTCAAACATTCGATCATTAAAACAGTTAGTACCATCATACACATCAGGGTAATTATAAGTACCTACGTTGCTTTTCATTTAAACAATTTCATTTAAGTCACTCTTTAGTTGGTGTGAGCTAGTACTCCCAAACAGCATTGGTTGATTGATAATTTCCCAATTTAAAGACAATATCATTATTTCCTTAGTTCTCCAAAGAAAAAAAAAATTTTGATTTATTGCGGAGCCGCTGAATACTTAACAGGACCGGTCAGGCTCCGGCTCAAAGTGCAGGAGTAGGGACGAGGTAGTTTTCAGTCAATAAAAGTCTGATACTCCATCTCGACTCACGTCACGAAGAAACCATTCGATGATATTCCTCCCTTAAAAAATGGTTTTACTGTCATTGACATGATATGCATGGAAATAATTGAAGCGCGATAACTCATTAATTCTTTTAAGTGTGAATTATACATACATTCGTGACTAATTCGATAATCTTGCCAAATACTTACATATTACTCGGAAATACCAGCGTTGGTCTGGATTTCCTTAAACTTTTATTTGTTATTTAAACCAGCACGCAGGAAAATATCTTCACTCCAACAAGACGAGTCTAACAGTGTAAATATTAAAGATTTTTGTCCGAAACGTTTATTATCTTTTGTGAAAGAATAATTAAGAACGTAACAACAGTCCATCAGAATCCTGTCCGAAGTTGACATTCTGTTATTACCTACATAATGGCGTTTTCAAAAATAGTTATTGAAAATAGACTCATTCACGCGCGATTCCGTCTGCTAAACGACTGGCGAAATTATTTATGATGATTATTGTGCTATAGTTAGACCGTGGGATGCGCACACGCATGGGATCAACTGATCGTTGGATTAAACTGTCGATTTGATAGATCGATATGAAGATCTAAGTAAAATGGAATATCTACATATTTAAATGTTGATAAATGATTCTGTATCGCTTTACAAGAATCTTTTTGAAATAAATAATATTATTTTCTACGTTGGAATTTTAGAATAACTGGTCAAAAGTGAAAATACTTTTTTAGGACATGCCTGTATATGACGTTAAATTAAGATATTCACATGGTAGATAAGTATCATTAGTTAAAGTGTGGGAGAGCCATGCTTCAGCACGAATGGGCCGGCTCGACCGGAGTGATACCACGGCCTCACAGAAAACCGACGTGAAGCAACGCTTGCGTTGTGATTCGTCGTGTGAGTGAGGTTACCGGAGGCCAAATTACCCTCCCCTTCTCCAATCTCTCCAATTCCTGAATCCCCAACGATCCTCAAACTCCTAATCCTCATAGGGCCGGTACTTGTATTCAACGTACTGGTAACGCCTCTGGTGTTCCAGGTGTCAGCGTTGTTGTGGAGTTTACTAAACACTTATATGCTTACACCACGTTTATGTTTTGTCCTATCATCGCTTGAACTTCTTTGGTCCATGGGTCGCATCGATTACCCTCCATCCATTTTCCAATTTACGCTGTATAGTTACTATAAAAAATAACTCAATACCTCAATTCCTCTAGGATGACAGTTCCACCTCACCATCTCCGAACAAACTCCACAAGACAACTTGGAGTAAGATGAAGGATATCATCCAGCAAACTCGCAAGGAGTCTGTCAAAAAGAAGACCACTTCAACTTCAAATCGAGGGTCCAAGAGTTCTCCTGACGTGGTGCCCAAGAGACGAAGATCGCTCAGTGATGGAGGAGACAGCGATGCCCCACCAGCTCTGACGCTGACCATCCCGTCTTCTGAAGAACTGGGTGAGTTTAGTTTTTAATTTATTAGTTAGTAGTGTACTAATGAATGACAAGGCTTATGTAAGCTAAGCAAGGTAGAAGAAATAGAATGTGTAGATAAACTGTTTCAATTACTACCTATGTTGCTATGATTTTATAATAACTATCGTGAGACATACTAAATTAAGTAAAAACACGGGTTACTCACGTGAATATGCGCGGTCGCGACCGCGCACGCTGCTCGTGAGGTAGAACCCCTCTGTGGTTCGAAACTAGTAGAGCTTTTCTCAGTATCACGTGAGTAACCCGCTTTTTTAGTTAACCTATGTTGCTGTTTAAAGTGGCATCAATAAGTTCTAAAAGTAATTATAAAGTTGAAAGAAAGTAAAGAATGGTTTTGTAATAACCATCGGGACACATACTACCTCTAAATTAAATAAAAATCGCGGGTTATTCACGTGAGTAAGTTAAGATTTTCAGTTAAAGTGAAGAAAGTGTGTCAAAGTCATTAGACCAGGAAGGCACTTTTCATCCGACGTAGTCGTACGTACGTCCGTCCGTGTATGGACGTTATTGTTACTGTAACTAATATTTAGGTAAATTAATTAATGCACAAACGAATGCTAGTTGCCCGCTCTTCGCTTTACATGTCACACTGTACAAAACTATTCTACACTATTCTCAACATGGTCGTTGTGGCCCGGAGGTTTAAGACTCCCGCTTCTCATGCATGAAAGTACGAAATCTACCAACAGCAAGTACAAATGTGAATTTTTCTTGTGTACTTTCTAAGATTATCTAGACACCACTGACAAACGGTGAAGGAAAACATCGTGAGGAAACCTAGACTTATAATTTCTAATTAAAAGTTTGATATCGCCAACCTGCATTGAGCAAGCGTGGCGATTAATGGTCAAACATTTTCCGTGTGAGAAGAGGCTTTGCTCAGCAGTGTCCACTTATAGGATGTTGATGATTCTCAACATAGTAGGTTAGTACCTACTTAGTAAGTTTCGATGTATCTATTTAAATAATACTTTTAGCAACCAGAGGTGTTTAATATTAAAAAAAAAAAGACAGATCACAATGAAATTAAGTAATTTTTATTATAAATTAACCTAATATTGACAATAATTTCACTATAATCAAAATAGTTTAAAAATGTAAACAACACAAAACAACCGTTAATTTTCAAACAAAATCAGCACAATAAAACACAAAATCGGCACAATTAACAGAAAGTAGAAAGAATAAAAAAAAGAACAGTCTTACAGTATCGACGCCAACCACCTTTCTACTCGACGACCAAGCAGCAAGAGAACCGGACGCAACTGAGCGCTCGCTTTTATAGGAGGTGGTGGGGATCGAAACTGCACCTACAAAGTTTTGCTTATACGGCTTCTCCTGACCGTGCACCGTCCTCGGCTGCACCGAAGACGTCTTCTGGAGGACTGCAGGATCTTCGTTCCCCGTCCTCGCCCGCAGGATCCACGGAAGCGTTGGCAGGACCCGCAGGAGCTGTACTTGAGGGTCCACTGGCATCGGCAAAGTCGTCATCATCGCAATCTATGTAAGAAACCGAATATTAGTAAATTTCGACAACATAAAACGTTGCCTGTTCTGCCATACTTCACTCAAACAAGGCCCTCATACAGAGAATAAGCACTCATACCGGAGAGAAAATCACTTCTCTATCAGAAATAAGCATACCTCATCTTACAAAAGTCTCTCTCAGACTCATACTTTGAACTTGCAAGTTCCCACGTTAAAAACGTGAACCAGGACTATGCCTGCCAGGACAGCGCCTGAACTGGGACAGCGCCCAAACCACGGTAATACGTGAACCAGGACTATGCCTGCCAGGACAGCGCCTGAACTGGGACAGCGCCCAAACCACGGTAATACGTGAACCAGGACTATGCCTGCCAGGACAGCGCCTGAACTGGGACAGCGCCCAAACCACGGTAATACGTGAACCAGGACTATGCCTGCCAGGACAGCGCCTGAACTGGGACAGCGCCCAAACCACGGTAATACGTGAACCAGGACTATGCCTGCCAGGACAGCGCCTGAGTTGCAACAGCGACCATGCCGCCACCGGGATACACTCCTGCTGCAACTTGACACTCCGAGTGCCCTGCCTTCCAGGACCTCTTGAGCTTGCTGACACTTAGGCAGCACGTTCTCAACCGGTAAGGCACACCACCTCACATCCTCGATCGAGCACGCACTTCAATCATGCCGGAACTGCAATTCAGAAACACTTTAGAAAATTCTTATAAAAACTCACTTTCAAAGAAAGCAGCACAGCTCTCAGGACACCACTCGCCTTTCCAGGGTATCATATATTGAGCAGCGGCTTGGGTTGTTTTGCCCCTGGCTCCGCTCAGTAACTTCAGCTCGTAACGGTCACTTGGAAGAACCTTTATAACCCTATACGGGCCTCTCATGCCGGGATCGAGTTTTCCCACAGACTGCGAGTATTTTATGACGAATACTTGATCGTCAACCTGGAACTTTCTTGGCGGGTGTCTTTGGCGATTTACCCGTGCATCTTGGTTGTTGCGATTTTTATCGAGCGATGCCTTGGCGAGGCTCCTATTGAGTTCTCGCACAGCTTCTATGTTGCGGCTGGGGTCTTCGACAGCAACATCACGGATCAGTGCACGGATCACGGGAGTGGTCGCATTGGTACCAGTTAACAAATATAAAGCCGAGTATTGTGTGGATTTTTGCTTTGTTATATTTAACACTAATTGTATTTTACATAAAGCATCAGACCAAGTAGACTTTTTATTATTACTTTCTACACGTAATAAATTCAAAACAGTCCTAACATAACGTTCGGCCTGCCCATTAGAATGGTGCATTTCGGGCGTTATATAATGAATAGCACTACCCATCTCAGATACCCAACTAGTAAAAGCTGACGCTTCAAACATACGACCACGGTCGCAAACTATGAGCCTAGGGGTTCCGAATAAAGATATTGCATTGTAGAAAACACGTTTCAATTCATTCGTATCCTGCCTGTACATGGGGTAGAGTAAGCAATATTTAGTGAAAGAATCTACTAGAATGAGAACAAACTTATATCCGTCGGACTCTGGTAAAGGACCCAATACGTCAACGTGAATTGTATTAAACGGGACATCGGACTTTTCCCATGATGTAATGGGCTGATGTGGGGCTCTCGGAACACGTTTCTTAGAAATACAGATTAAGCAGTGGGACGTATACTTTTTAACAAATTGTTTTAGGCCGGGAAATCAAAAATACTTTAGGATAAGGTCATAAGTCTTATCAGCACCGATGTGCTCGTGCTCATCGTGGAAGACGCGCAACAGGCTTAGTCTGTGGCCCTTAGGAATGTAACATAACAAGCGTGACTCTTCTCCGACTGGTGAGTATCGGTAATAAAGTACATCATTTTTACATACGTAGCGTCGTGAATCTAAACGTCCTTCCCTAAGCTTCTGGATAAGGTCCATTGTCTCAGAATCGGCTGACTGAGCCATCTGTGCCCAGTTAAGCGGTCTCTCTATATTATTGACACGTGACGTTGGTGGATTTCTACTTAAATAATCTGCGTGACCCATCATGACGCCTTTACGGTATTCGATCTCAAATTTGAAATCTTGTAAGTAAATCCACCAGCGTGCAACCCGCGGGAGAAGGTCCTTTTTGCGCTCGGTGGCCTTCAAGGCATTGCAATCGGTAATGATCTTAAAATTTACACCGATTAAATAGTGACGAAAATTTTGCAGCGCCTTGACGACCGCCAGCGTTTCTAATTCGTACGAATGGTACCTTGCCTCAGCGCCCTGAGTTACTCGACTAAAATATGAGACTACTCGTTTGCTGCCGTCAGCGTGAACCTGCATTAGTACAGCACCGTACCCCGCACTACTGGCGTCAGTGTGCAGTTCGGTAGGAAGGCTCGGGTCGAAGATCGCAAGTATAGGTTCGCTAGTAAGACACTCAATGATATCTTTGCGGACCTGGTCTTGATCTGGTCCCCATTCAAATTTTACGTCTTTCTTTGTGAGACGCGAGATACATGCGGTCTTCGTCGCGTAGCCTTTGATATACCGTCGAAAATATCCGGCAAGACCTAAAAACTGGCGTACTTGCTTCACATTAGTGGGAATAGGCGCTTTGAATAACGCTTCAATCTTATGGGGGCTCGGCCTAACCTGACCATGACTGATAACGCGACCTAGGTACTCAATTTCAGTGGTCAGAAACGAACACTTCCGTAAATTAATAGAGAAACCGGCCTGAGTTAAAGTCTTTAAAACATCACGTAATAAAGAGATACCTTCATCGATTGACATACTTATAATTAATACGTCGTCAATATAAACAAGTACGCTGCCGGATTCTATGAATTTACGCAAAGTGTTATTTATGATTCGTTGATAAACAGTTGGTGAGTTACACAAACCATACGGCATTTTTAAATACTCGTAATGAGCCTCAGGAGTTACAAAACCCGTTTTATGGATAGAGCTTTCATCAATAGGTATTTGGTGGAAACCTGAGGCCATATCGAGAGATGTGAACAGCTTTGAACCCCCAAGCCGGTCAATCTGGTCATCAATTAAAGGTAGGGGGTATCTATCCTTGACAGTGATACGGTTTAGGGCACGGAAATCTACGCACATTCTATCCGAACCGTCCTTTTTCTTGACCAAAATGATCGGGCTTGCGTACTCGGAATTCGATTCCCTAATGATCTCTTTGTCTAATAAATCCTGACAAATCTCCCGGACCTTAAGTTTCTCCTGATATGATAAACGGTACGGATGGTATGCTACGGGTACTTCACTTGTCAAGCTGATGTGCATTTTACCGGTATTTACGGTAGTGGTAGCTGTACCGGATATTAAAAATGATGAGAACTCTCCAAGAACAACCATCAGCTTTGCAAGCTCTGCACCTTTAAGAGGCGTATTTACTTTGTCAACTTCGCACTTCGTCACCGCATTTACTTTTAAAACCTTGTCAGGTGTACGGGTCAGATGCTGTCCATGTTTCGTGCGAATGAACGTAACGCCATCACGATTAAGAACATCAGTCCCAACTATGATCGGAGTATTCATGTACAATGCGGGTACAATAACAAAGTCGACCTCAAGTGCGATCTCACTAAATTCGACCGTAAGAGTAATGTACTCGCGAGCCACAAACCCTCTATCCCCTATTCCTTTGAGGGAGCAGTTAATTGGTTTTCGAGAACCGGAAAAGTGATTCACCACTGCGGATGATATCAATGACACATTGAGCGCACCACTATCTATAAGAACGTCAACTGGTATACCTTGGATCACAGCTGTACATATGTCATTGTTATCACTCGCCCTAAAAAGCTCACTACACAGATTAACCTTACGCTGATTGTTGTTGCTACTGCTATTTTGAGCTTCGGAACGAGCTTTAGTAAAGCAGTCGCTTTCCCTATGCCCTAACTTCTTGCAAAAAGAACAAACGGGTTTGGAACTGTTATCGTGCTTGTCGCGCCTATCGAGCGTGTCGCGTCCATTGTGCTTATCCGGGAAATTACGTTTATTAGGACATAGATGTTTCAAATGACCAGTCTGACCGCAAGTAAAACATTTGTTATTCTGACTCGATGCGTTTGAGTGGCGTTTTTTGGTCATACTAGAGCTAGACGGAACTGATTTATCCAGGTTACGATTATTATCGGATCTGCGAACGGGCTTAACATAGGTGGAGAGAAATAAAATAAGGTTTTCAATTGTCAAATCAGCGTTGGTCGCCGCTGCGCGTACTTGCACATCACTAATACCATGTATCACTATTTGAACCATGAGTTCCTCACTCAAACCTTTGATCACACGTAAGCGCAACAACGAACGACGTGCATATTCGGCATATGATAGGAATCTTTCGGAAGTGGTATTTATGACTTCATGAAGAATCTGAGCATAGTTGATCTTTTGAGGACACAGGGATTTAAATTCCCTCACGAAGTTGGACCACGAACGTTCATTCGTGCTCCATTCATTTAACCAGACTTTTGCATCGCCCCTCAAGCAATGAGCTACACGAGAGAAACACTCGAAATCGTCCCAACGGTTTGCTAGTCTAGCCCTTTCCACCTCGTTGCACCACACCTCAAAATTATTTATAGCCGTGTCGAAATTTGACACGTAATAACTATTACTGCGCTTGCTACTCACTAGCAAACCGATAGCATCGGCAAGTGTTCGCGTTGTAGAACTATTGTTTTTATCTAAAGGAGGTGTGCTGCCACGATGGGTAGACGGAATATGCGAACCACTGGCACTATTTTCCTCTATAGCGGTTAGTCGCGACATAATTGCACTTAAGGTATCTTTCATTGTACACTCCTGAGGGTAGGAACGTGATTTACTCCGACGTCGACGCGAATGAACGGAACGTGATCTAGACCTTTCACGCGAATGGGAAGCACCTCGAGTCCGCGAACGGTCACGATGTGTTTCATTGTGGCGTGAGCGTGAACGGGAACGCGTTTTATCATTTTGCGCACGCAAGCGGTTTTCACCACCACGAGATCGGGAACGGTTTCTACTACGGCCTGACCGAACGCGAGATCTATCACCATGTGACCGCGAACGGTGCCTATCGCGTCGCGAAGACTCACTGCAACGACTACGATTCACCTCAGTACGAGGCGGTGTTTCCACCAACCGTTCACGAGAAGCACGTGGCATAATATGAAAATTAACGGTTGTTTTTATCTAGCAAGGCTATTTGTGAGCGAAATCCTATCCCACTTCTGATTTTAGCAACCAGAGGTGTTTAATATTAAAAAAAAAAGACAGATCACAATGAAATTAAGTAATTTTTATTATAAATTAACCTAATATTGACAATAATTTCACTATAATCAAAATAGTTTAAAAATGTAAACAACACAAAACAACCGTTAATTTTCAAACACAAAATCAGCACAATAAAACACAAAATCGGCACAATTAATAGAAAGTAGAAAGAATAAAAAAAAAGAACAGTCTTACAGTATCGACGCCAACCACCTTTCTACTCGACGACCAAGCAGCAAGAGAACCGGACGCAACTGAGCGCTCGCTTTTATAGGAGGTGGTGGGGATCGAAACTGCACCTACAAAGTTTTGCTTATAATATATTTTAAAGGAGTTATACAAACATTCAAAATATTTCTTGATATAATAATAATTATTGAAGAAGTTCAATAAACAGATAAATATCAATCTAAAACTTGACAATATTTTGGATTATAAACAAACCTAAAGCCTAATTAAATAATAATGACGTGTTATGCATTCAATAATGAAATCACTTTATATATAAACTACGTTTAAAAACCCGACTTCTACCCACTCTATTTTGAAGTCGGTTAATTAATATACTAAAACCTTCTCCATTTGTTACACCAAACTCTTTTCTGAAAACCACATCAAAATCGGTGCGGCCAATCACGAGATAATCACAGTGTGGGAGAGCCATGCTTCGGCACGAATGGGCCGGCTCGACCGGAGTGACACCACGACCTCACAGAAAACCGACGTGAAGCAACGCTTGCGTTGTGTTTCGTCGTGTGAGTGAGGTTATCGGAGGCCCAATTACCCTCCCCTTCCCCAATTTCCCCAATTCCTGAATCCCCAACGATCCTCAAACTCCTAATCCCCAAACGGCCGGTGACGAACTTGTAACGCCTCTGGTGTTCCAGGTGTCCATGGGCGACGCCGATTGCTTACCATCAGGTGATCCGTCTGCTCATTTACCGGCTTATGTCAAAAAAAAACAAAGATACATACATGAAAACATGCATACGCATATAAATACATACTGAGACAAACAGAGAACTCCTTCTTTACGTTTTGAAGTCGGTAAAAATACAAATTACTCGACGCGTGATATCCAACACTATCCCCTGTTTACTGAACGCAATTGTTTGGGCCACCAAATTCGGTAAACATTGGAAATCAATTAGGACCTTCCAAACTAGTTGGATAGTGAGGTCACGATGGAATTTACTTAGTATTGTTGGCTAAGGGTTTTGGTATGGGTTCCAGTCGCAAAGAGCACTTCCAAATGTTTATCATTCATGTTAATATTATACTTGCTAATCTAACGATTGTTTGGAGTTAACTGAATTATAATTATGTAAGTTATTTTTATTTGTTTTCAACTTTGGTTTTCATAACTTCATCACAACTAAAAGCAATTAGCATTAAACCGAAATAGTAACCTATGGAGTTTGTTGCTCGTTCTTCTCCATAGGAATCTACACCTTGGAATGAGCAACTAGCTTCACTTCTAAATTTTTGTTTTTGACGTTCAAAAGTGCCTTCCTGGTCTAATAAAAATAAATAACCTTGACTTTTTTACTTTGACTTTAAATAAGTACACAGATTATACCCCCCTCGCCATAACATTAGTTGCATTATATTTTTTGGATATAGGAGATAAATTTCCACTTTTGACTTGAATAATACAGAGGAGAATAAAAATTTAAAACTATGAAATAAAGTTAAGGAGCTGAAAAACAATATAAACTACATATAAACTAATCAGGAATCAATTTCTAATTACTGTAACAAAAAAATACGCATCCTTCATAGTTACGCCAAAGATTATTCCGACGATTCGTTTGCTCAAGAAATTGAGTCAATGAACAATACAAAATTAGTTATGCAGTGTGAAAATCTTTATTTTCGGGATGATAGAGTTGTTATTGGCGCGGCATGAGTATTTAGGATGTTAGTGATGGTCTAGGGCGCCCAATAGGCTGGGCAATAGTGTACCGTCGTACACATGATACTACAATAACATTGCTCTTTAGTTGTTGCATGTTAACAGCTGACTTACGAAGTACTATAACTTCGATTTGTAGTGGTAAAATAAAAGCTACATTAATTGTACCACTGAATGGAAAAAATAATTTTAATTTTTAGCAAACTAATACCAACAATGCTACTTACCACTTGAACACACATAACATAACATCACGCCTTTTATCCCCAAAGGGGTAGGCAGATGGGTACATTATACCACTGAACAATGTAACACCCACTTTTCACTATTAATGTTAAGAGTCCCTTGTAATAGGGGGTGAGCCTATTGCCATATACCGGGCACAATTCCAGACTCCGTGCTATTACTGTGTTTTTTTTTTTGATAAACCCAGTAATACTTTGCCTGACCCGGGAATCGAACCCAAGACCCCTTGCCCGGTAGTCACACTTGCGACGACTCGGCCAATGAGGCAGTCAACTTTAATCATGTAGGATAGAGCACTTAGACTATTACCAATCGCGTACGCTTCAAAGAGCCATCAGTTCACCACAGATGGGCCCAATAAGGCCGATACGGAGTCTAGGAGGACGTAACAGGTTATCGGGACTGCAGCTCGAAGTGCAAGAGTAGGAACGGGGTGGTTTTAGTCAGTATGAGTCTGACACTCCCTCTCGCTTCACCCGGGCGGAATAATTTATTCGATGGTATTCTCCCCTTAAAAAAGCTTATCATCAACCGGAATCCTTGTTATAACGAAGAGTTCACACATTTAACTAACACATATGCAATCATCGATCGGTTGAAACAGTGTTGTGTTTGTACATTATATACATGCGTAGGCTTCAGGAACATCTACTAAGCCTAGCTGGTTTCTCTATCTCCTGGAGATCCTTTGCGAAACGCAAACGCGTTTGTTTTCGGTACCGGTTGAAGAGGATTACTATGAATACTATCGTACACACAATCATGCTGCTCGTATAATTGATGATAGTATTAAATGTTTGGATTGCATATATCGAATAAAGATCGCTTGTTCCTTACAAATATTGCAACGGCGAGGTTATAGATTTTTATTCAAATGTGAAGATCACTTGCAATGTATATTGACATGGCTTATTATAACTTACAGCTCGACGCAATAGTGACTTTAGTAAGGCGTAGGCACAGTTACATGTGGAAAGCAGTAAATCTATTGTCGGAAAGCAGTGAATCAGTGCGCGAATTCTTTGCCAGAGTCTGTATTTCCTGAAGGGTATAACCTGGGAGTCTTCAAGGCCCGAGTGAATAGGTTGCTTATGGAATGACGTGCTCCATCGTAGACCGCATCATCGCTTACCACCGGGCGAGATAGTGTTCAAACGTCGCTCCAACAAATATTTTAAAAAAATAAGTTGCTTCTATCCAGCAGTGGACTATGATGGAAATGATGTAGAAGATAGTTATACTTGATGGAGTATGAACTGGGAACTGGTAGTGTAGATGAACATTAAACCAACAAAACATTTGTATATCAGCAAGATAAATCCAAATATAAAGTCATTAAAACTAAAATGTGGGATGTTGCCACAAAATAGTGAGCAGTGTTGATGCAATTCACAGTTTTTATAATTACAACTCTCGACGAAAAAGTTTTTGTGAGTTTTAATAGCCATGCAAAAAGTTAAATGAAGCCATCACACGAATTTATTAAAAAAAATCTCGTTTGAAAATTTTAATTGTACAACTTTTTTTTGTGTGAATCGTAACCCATTTGATGTTCGAATGATATGAGTAGATACGGGATTTGAATGTTACAAATTTGTGAAAGGGTTTTTTGTTCTGTGTTATTCAATATGCGCATTTTTAAGTTTTATTTTTGATATATTGGTTACTTAATTCATCCTAAAAGATGTTTACACGACATTATACTTTAAACCAGATACTATACTACCTACTTATTTCGTACCTACTCTTACTTTTACTTACTTCTGATGACAATTACATAAAAACAAACACAAACATATTTTTGCATTCACGCTCCTTCAGCAATTTTCGAAGCAATCGTACCCTTGCGACCATAGTTACTGTCTTTACGACTATTCTTCTTTAGTGGTGAATAAGGAACAACAAAATGATAATCAAAAGCGTAAAAAAATACGGATTTCTAACATCACAAAGACAAATTAACACTAAATTTGTAGGTATATTTTTATCAAAACTTCTGCCTTTTGTTATTTTTATAAACAAGACTAAAATACATTTATCGCCATGACAACAAGAATCGTCCTCCAGTCATTAACAGAAACGATTAAATCATTAAGATGAGAGTAAAACAGGAATCTGTTATTCAGAAGACAATTGGCTGTCAGGATCCGAACTTTGCCATTGACGACCAGTCATCAATCTTTTTCAAAAGCGATCCCTTAACAGATCAGTGAATGGCTGCAGGGTTTCAAGGAGACATTAGAACTATTCAGTAATTCCACATCGGATTTGTTAACATCTATCTGTCTTGTAAAGGATAGATTTATAGATCGGTAGAGGACATTGAAATATTTGACCCTTTTTAAAAACGCTTTAGATTCTTTTTGGGGATAAAAGTTCTCTCTTGCTTTTTGGTATTAGAATTTGGTACTGCATTGAAGTCTATGTACGAGTACATCTATATCACAATTGTTATATTTTTTGCCCGAAATTATGTTGTTGATAACTTTTAGCTACATAAATATCACATCACACATCAAATTAACAGCCCATAAGTGGTCACAGCTGACCAAAAGCCTGTTCTCATATAAAAATGATTGTCCATTATTCACCACGCTTGCTCAATCCGGATTGGGTATTTAAAATTTATAATTAGAAATTATAAGCCATGGTTTCTTCATTGTTTTCTTTTTAAGTTTGTCAGTGGTGTCTAAATAACCTTAAAAAGTACGTATAACTCACATTCAGTCACATTCGTACTTGCCGTTGATAGGTTTCAAAACCACGCTTTCATGCAATTTAAACGTCTTAAACCTCCGGGCCACTTCTTTTTATTGGGGAATTTCATCGTATGACTTCTCCCGCCTGTGTGCGGCGGGAGGGAGTGTCAGACTTTTACTAGCTAAAAACCACCCTGTTCCTACTCCTGCACGTCGAACCGGAGCCCCGGTAACCATGACGCTACAGATAAACTAACAGCTATTGTGAAATAAAAAATCGAGATAAAAAATTTGTAACGGAACATACAGACCACAGATCGTTTGTTCGAGACTAGACATGTTCCGAACGGGTGAGAAATTAATTGGATCGTTTAGTCCTCCACTGGACTATGGAATAGGCTAATGTATGGGAACTGTTCCTAACTGGTGCCTCAAACTAAGTAGA